ACAAGTTCTCAAGTGGAATGGCTGTTCATTATCAAATTATCTTCTATGAATGCAATTTTGAAGTTATCTGTCTGCTTTTAGTTATTATACAAGCATACTTTTTCCCTACATTATGGTATGCATAATTCTGTATCACCTTTTTAAAATGTGTGTAGGGAGGGATCTTCACGTGGATTTGGTTTAAGGGTAAACAAATCTGTTGAAGGATCAGATTCCTGGGTTGATGATCCCATTGCACGTCACATGATAAGTCTGCTAATAAACAAAGAAGATGGAGTGAATCATATTATATGGCCTTTGATTATGCACATCAAGGGCCATTATTGTGTTCTTATACTGCCATTAGTTGAACCACATCAGCTCAGAGTGCATTCAAATATTTGTCAAAGAGCAGACTGTGGAAACTCTATTGTAGCAGAAGAAAATTTATCTTCTCTTCTTCTTCACCTTCCATCCATCACAGGGTATGGTAAGTTATATGCTATATCTTAATGTGAAAAGAATGCTGTCTTTAGCATGCATCTATCCTTCAGGCCTTGATCAATGATTGCTGCCTAAAAGTTGCCATAAGATACGTGTCTATAACAAAAGCTACTCTGATATGAAGACAAGATATACTGTATGTAACATGCATCTGTCCACGTCCATGGTCAAGAATTTCCACTTTTTGTATCAGGGCAGGTTTTGTTATAGGCACACCGGTTTTCACTTTTTCATTAGCAATTCTATCTTTAGGAGTTGTTATTCATTCTTGTATTTGTTTGATTCAATTATCTTTGGTCATTTCAATGTTCCTATGTATTGAATATGCAAATTTCTAATTACCTGTGCTTGGCAAACATCTTCTTCCACTATTGTTGCAGTCTCGCGCTCGGCATCACCTCTTGTACTCATCCATTCTGAATGCCACATTTTGTTCCTCACTCTCATTTCCTATCAAAATTTTCTTTTCTGCCCCTCCTTTGTCATTTATACCGAGTCATTATCTTTCCAAATTCTACAAATAAATTCTCAAATTGAATCACATGAGAACAGAAACACCAAGTTATAGCTGTCGTCTAGTGGTTGTCATTCACTTTAATGGGGATGGTTGCTAATTATATGATTACTGTGTTGGTGTTTGTTGGTTTTGGTGGTGGAAGCTTGTTGTGGTCGTGGTTGTTGGGGCTGCCATTGTCGTCGTTGATGTCTTTATCAGTGATTATAGGATGTTGTTAAAGCCCGATTATTCTGATATCTTACTGGTTTAACTTCATTAATTGCAATCTTTGCTTAATGCAGGGCCTTTATTGTGGCTCATATGCTTGGAGATGTTATAACAGGCGATGTAACAGAACCAGAAATACTTATAAACACATCTCCATCCGTGGGAGGGTTGTTGGATTCTCTCACTGGAGGTATTGGCATTTCAGCAAGAGCAAAGCCTTTAGGTTCACCAGCTGCAGGACCTACTGGGTCCAGTAGTGGTATTGGTGGATCAGTGGCAACTGATGGCCCAAAGGTTGGGTTGAGACCCCTCGACAAGGATGCAATTCGGTCTTTTATTTGTAGCGCTATGCCATTTGGTTGGTGTTCTTTATTAGGAGTATGATAACATTCCCTTTTAAACATGTTTGTTCTCTATTGCTAACATTGCATTTCATGGCTGCCTGCATTTTTCAGGTACACCTTTGGACCTGAACTACACAAATATTTCATCCATCAAGATTAATGGTTTTCCATCCGCAGATATGCCTCCTACAGATAACAAGCAACCGGCATGGAAGCCTTATCTTTACAGAGGTAAGCAAAGGATCCTCTTCACAATTCATGAGATCGTTCATGCTGCAATGTATGACCGCGATGAGATTCCAGATAGCATAAAGATTTCAGGTCAAGTGAATTGCCGGGCAGAGTTAGAGGGGTTGCCTGATGTTATGTTTCCATTAACTGGGTTAGACACTGCTCATCTAGAGCTATTATCATTTCATCATTGTGCTCAAGTTCCAGAGCATGGCAACGATAAGCAAGCATTGATGTTCTCTCCACCATTAGGGAATTTTGTGTTAATGCGTTATCAAGCATTTTGTCGCATTGGCCCTCCAATAAAAGGATTCTACCAACTTTCAATGGTCTCAGAGAATGAAGGTGCATTCTTGTTTAAATTGCGTCTAATGGAAGGTTACCGATCTCCACTATCCATGGATTTTTGTTCAGTAACCATGCCCTTTCCTAGGAGAAAAGTGGTCTCTTTTGATGGAACACCTTCTCTAGGAACAGTTTCAACCACTGAGCATTCACTTGAATGGAAAATTATCACGACTGGTAGAGGAGTCTCAGGGAAGAGTGTGGAGGCAACATTTCCTGGAACAGTTAAGTTCGCTCCATGGAAAAAACAAAGCCTTGGAAATGTGGACGATGAAGACGGTGAAACGGATGCAACTGACTATGCAATAAACCTGGAGGACTTTTTAATGGAAAAAATGAGCAAGGACCTTCAAGCAGTTGAGTTGGAGGAGCCATTTTGTTGGCAGGCATATGATTATGCTAAAGTACATTTCTATCTCCATCATGGACACAAACCACACAGAGTACTTTGTCATTTTTTTGTGGCTCATATTCTCTTGTATATATGCCACTTGCCATTGGAGCTAAACGAGTTATTTTTGACAATTGTTAAGCTTTGGGCTAATAATGGACTAATTAAAACAAAATGGCAGATCAAACTTCCATTCTTTCTTACTTTTTATGAACTTTTGGGCAGTAAATGCATCAAGGTTTTACTGGAAACGGCCTCTCTGCCTTTTCAGGGGTAAGGTTGCGTATATCTTGACCCCCAGAATCCAATATGGAGTTGCCTAGTTGGGATTATTTTGGGTTTGTTGTTATTGTTGTTGTTGTTGTTGCTGCTGTTATCTTTCAAATAACTAATTGTACCCTGACTGGTTTTATGTGATTGCAGGTCTCTTTCAAAATAATGGGAGGAACAGTATCAGGAATGACCATTGATCCAAAATGTGTATGTATAACATTCATCACCCATTTAGGATAGTGTTTTCTGACATCAAGATATTAATATTCGCAGATGATCATTTAGAATGATTTTGTATTACCTTTAAAAATTGAATCCTAAATGTTCAGTAATCTGTGTAGGTAACCATTTTCCCAGCCGTCAAAGCACCTGTAGAATTCTCGACTCAGGTATCAAATTCGGTTTATAGTTTTCTTACAGCGTCGGGTATCAAAATCATTACTTTCCATTCCTTAGATTGGCAATATTTTTGCGTGAGCTCTGAACATGACATGGTTAACAACCTCATTATCTTGAAATACTACATATATAAATTTAGTTCTCTACCTCTAAGGCCAACACTTACGCATTTCAAAATATTGACTGATATTTTTTAATATATCCACATTGCTAGATTTGCCTTATTGCAGTTGGTAGTGATAGAAACCATGATAACTATCTTAGTTATGCTCGAAGTTTGTAAAAGTGGAAATGCTTTCACAACAAACAGTCTTTTCAAACCACAAAAAAAAAGAATGGAAAATGATGTCTGAAAATTTACATTTGGAAAATGAGTTATTTTCTAGAAGTCAATTTCCCCCCTTCCCAAACAAACCCTTAGGCTCCGTTTGGTACACGGAGTTCGAGTCCTGTAATTGGAATTGGGGATCTCATTTCCAATTCCGGTGTTTGGTAGCACAAAAACATGTGGATTTGGAATTGGTAGTGGAACAAATGAATTGGAACTCGAGAATTCAATCCCATCAAATTCAATTCCATAGAATTTCAATTTCAATTCAATTTCATGTACCAAAGGGACCCTTAGGCTTCGTTGGGTACACGGAATTCAAACTATAGAATTGGAATTGGAGACTTCAATTTTAATTCTACTGTTTGGGAGCACAAAAATATGTGAATTTGGAATTGAATTCTACTTCCAAATTTTCCATATCAATTCCAAATACATGTGGATTGAGTAGCACAAAAATATGTAGATGTACTATAATCATAATACAGTTCCATATCTTTTCCATTTACAATTTGATGTTACCGAACAAAGAATTGGAATTATAATATACAATTCAATATCAATTCCTTAATTATATCAAACAAGGGATTTGGAATTGAGTTCTATCCAATTCAATTCTATAAAATTTCATTTCAGATTCAATTCCAATTTCGTGTACCAAAGAGAGCCTTAGTCTTTTATGCAAAGGATAGAGAAACACTATGAACCACATAATATTTTCTATAAATGGAGACAAACGATATATTGTGACAGGCCAAAAAGAAAGCATGCATGGAATCAATGTTCGAAAAGGCGTATTGCGGTTTTGAGGCGTTTTCATTTCATGGTGTAAGGCGTAAGCCTTGAGGCGTTTTGAGGCGTAAGCCTCAATTTTAAATTGAAAAACATTCACAAAATAATATAAAACCAAAGATAGAACATAATGTATAACATAAATAATCCAAAAACATGAAAAGAGTATATTGTCAAAGCAATACATCGCAAACATAACAAAGTCTAACATGGAATCAAACATAATTTTGCTCGAAGTGATGAGCTTAAATTGAAGAATTGAAAAAAAGTTGATCAGTGTCTAACGGCTTGAAATTAGGATCAAAAGATGTTGCATTTCCTTCATTCTCTTCCTCGGAATTGATGAAAAAATCATCTCTAATAGGATCTTGAAGAATAATATCATCTTCTTCATCTTCTTCAAATTCATCAATAAGCTGTAGTGCTTTTCTTTTCCCTAGGCGACGCCTTTTTGAAGGATGTCCTTCATTTCTTCCTTGGCCACTTGGGTTGGTGATTGTTTCACTAGCAGTATCACCTTGAGTATGAACTTCTGGACCATCACCATGAACATCATCACTCTCGACAATCATATCATCTTCATGAACAACCCACTCATCATCTGAAGGAATTTCATCCATCACCAACGGATCTTCCTCAACTTTCAATGATGCTTTCTTCATCCATTTACTTTTCAATCTTTTGTTGTACATCACGTAAACCATTTTATTCAAATTCTTGGTATGCAAGCGATTTCTCTTCTTCGTATGGATCTACAAATTAAATATGTGTAAGTCGATGGATCACAAAACAAAATGTAGGTATGT